TTTGTTATCAATAATTTAATTGCTCTGTGGCACTCTCTTCTACCTGGCTATTAATTTCTTTCTATTCCTGCATCTCCTTTATCCTTTTTTAGCTTCCGATATTCTTTTTTTCTTTCTTTCTTTCTTTCTTTCTTTCTTTCTTAATTAATTAATTAATTAATTAATTAATACATTTTCTTTTCTTCATTCGTCTTTCTCTCTTTTTACCCTTCTTTCCTTCCATTTTTCTTTCTTTCTTTACATTCGCGTATCTTTCCTTTCTTCCTTCTTTCGTTCCATCTTTTTCTTTCGTTCTAAATTCATTTTTTTTCTTTCATTCTTTCTATGTGTCTTTCTTTTCTTCATTCTTTACTTCCATCTTTCTTTCTTTCTTTTTCATTATATCTTCGTTATTTATTTTTACTCATTCTAAATGCTCCACTTTCTCTTTCTCCTATTTTTCTTTCTTTCTTTCTTTCTTTCTTTCTTTCTTTCTTTCTTTCTTTCTTTCTTTCTCATTATGTCTTCGTTATTTATTTTTACTCATTCTAAATGCTCCACTTTCTCTTTCTCCTATTTTTCTTTCTTTCTTTCTTTCTTTCTTTCTTTCTTTCTTTCTTTCTTTCTTTCTCTCTTTCTTTCTTTCTTTCTTTCTCATTATGTCTTCGTTATTTATTTTTACTCATTCTAAATGCTCCACTTTCTCTTTCTCCTATTTTTTTTGATCTTTCTTTCTTTCTTTTTTCTTTCTTTCTTTCTTTCTTTCTTTCTTTCTTTTCTCATTATGTCTTCGTTATTTATTTTACTCATTCTAAATGCTCCACTTTCTCTTTCTCCTATTTTTCTTTCTTTCTTTCTTTCTTTCTTTCTTTCTTTCTTTCTTTCTTTCTCATTATGTCTTCGTTATTTATTTTTACTCATTCTAAATGCTCCATTTCTCTTTCTCCTATTTTTCTTTCTTTCTTTCTTTTTCTTTCTTTCTTTCTTTCTTTCTTTCTTTCTTTCTTTCTCATTATATCTTCGTTATTTATTTTTTCCTACTCATTCTAAATGCTCCACTTTCTCTTTCTCCTTTTTTTTTCTTTCTTTTCTTTCTTTCTTTCTTTTTTTTTTTTTTACTTTCTTTCTTTCTTTTTCTTTCTTTCTTTTTTTCTTTCTTTCTTTCTTTCTTTCTTTCTTCATTTTCTTTTTTCTTTCTTTCTTTCCAGCCGTCTTTCTGTCTTCTTTGACTTCTTTCGTTCCATGTTTATTTCTTCCTTTCTCCTTCTTTCTATCCTTATTTTTTGACCTTTCTTTCTTTCTTTCTTTCTTTCTTTCTTTCTTTCTTTCTTTCTTTCTTTCTTCGTCTACTTCCTTTCTTTCTTCTCTCCTTTTCTAATTTTCATATATTTATTCCTTCTTTCATTCAATCATTTCCTCTTTGTTTCAGTTTTATTCTCCTCTCGTCTTTTTAATTGTTTATGTTTTTATTGTATCTTTTGCTTCTATGGATGTTTTTCAGTTCGCATTCTCAAATTGTTCTTCGGCGATGTTTTCAATTTTTACATTTACAAAAATAATTGTAATTGTTATTTTTTTCTTACAAAACTGACGCGTGCAGATATTTAATGATTTTCACCCGCAAGTGTTTATGTATTGGGTTTGTTCTTGCAGGAATTTTGTTAAAGAATCCTGTTATTTGCTCGTCCTGGGTTTGACGATAAACTACATTCGCGTCCAGGGTAAGACGATAAACTACGTCCAACTGATCAGGAGATTTTGAGGAGCGTGGAACTACCTCTTAATTGCTGGTGGTCCCAGGTCCACCCTGACCCAGGGTGGTAACACCTGCTAGGGTGCAAGCTATGGGCAAAGCACTATGAAAGTATTAAAAAAAGGGTTTAATATCAGCAGTACTTTTTGGAAAAAAAATTTACCAGCAATACATTTTTGGGGAAAATATTACCAGCAATATATTTTTGGGGAAAATATTACCAGCAATACATTTTTGGGGAAAATATTACCAGCAATATATTTTTGGGGAAAATATTACCAGCAATATATTTTTGGGGAAATTATTACCAGCAATATATTTTTGGGGAAAATATTACCAGCAATATATTTTTGGGGAAATTATTACCAGCAATATATTTTTGGGGAAAATATTACCAGCAATATATTTTGGGGAAAAATATTACCAGCAATATATTTTTGGGGAAAATATTACCAGCAATATATTTTTGGGGAAAATATTACCAGCAATATATTTTTGGGGAAAATATTACTAGCAATATATTTTGGGGGAAAATATTACCAGCAATATATTTTTGGGGAAAATATTAACAGCAATACGTTTTGGGGAAAAATTAACAGCAATACGTTTTTGAAAATAAAAAAAAACGATCGTCAATAAAAATTTTGCCGGCATTAAATAACGCATTGAGGTTGATATGCCGTAAACCAAACCAAACCAAACCATTATTTGCGTAATATATATATATATATATATATATATATATATATATATATATATATATAAAAAATAGGTTATGGTGAAATAGCTTATTACATGGAATCTTAACGTGGTCTGTCTTTTATTTAAACATATCTGCTCTGAATTTGACATTGAGCTCTCTGGATATCATCCTCCTCAGGTCTACCCATACGGATTACCTAAGTTTGCACTAAATAAATATATATATATATATATATATATATATATATATATATATATATATATATATATATATATATATATTCCTTCAACAGTATAATTAAATAATTTTGGCTCCAAAACAGGTTTTAATTTTTAAATGATCAAAGATCAATATAAAAGTCAAACAAAACTCCAGTTAAAATTTCTCTCCACTTTTCTGTGATGAGACATTGGAATGCGAAGTTGATCTCCGTTTTTTTTTTCTAAGGTTTGTTTCGACAAACATTCTTTCCTTTCTTCTTCTTCTTCTATCTTTGCTTTTGTCTCCTCTACTTTGAAGCCCCTCCCCCTTTCCTACATGTTCTCTTCCTCCTCCACCTCTTATTAATTTTCTTCTCTTTGCACCCCTTTTTAACTATTTCTATTTTACTTCTTTCTCCTCCTCCTCCCCCCCTCCGTCTGAACGTTTTCGCTTTCAAAGTCTTTGAATTGGTCGATTTCTCCTGAATTTTTAAAAAGTTGAAATATTGACTCGGAAAATTATCATACTTTTTAATTTTCTTTTTATTCTCTTTTCTTGTTCTATTCTTTTCTTGTTTTATTCTTTTCTATATTCTTTTATTCTTTTGTTCTTTTATTCTCTCTAAATTCTTTTATTCTTTTCTTCTTCTCTACATTATCTTATCCTTTTGTACATTCTTTCCTTCTTTGTATTCTTTTATTCTTCACTATATTCTTTTATTCTTTTCATTTCAATATTATCTTATTCATTTGTACATTCGTTTATTCTTTCATTTTGTTCTTCTCTATGTTCTTTTATTCTTTTCTATATTCTTTAATTCTTTTATTCTTTTGTTCATTCTTTTCTATATTCTTTTCTCTTTTTCTTTGTATTCTTTTATATTTTTCTATATTTTTTATTCTTTTCTTCTTCTCTCTATTATTTTATTCTTTTCTACATTCTTTTATTCTTTTGTTCTTTTATTCTTTTCTATATTCTTTTTTCAGATTTCGATATTCTTTTCTTGTTTGTTTTTTCGATTTTTGTTTTCTTCCTTTTTCTTTGTGCTTTCGTTTTCTCCAACTTTTTTTCTTTTTTTGTTTCTTCTTTATTAGTTGAGATATTTCGAGACATTTTCTTCAGATTTCGTACGTTTTTTCCTTTCCTTTCTTTTCTGATTCTCTCTTCTTCTTTTCTTTTCTCCTTCCTTTCTTTTTTTTTCGTCCTTTTACTTACTATCTTTTTTCCTCTCTTTCTTTTCCACTCTTTATTTTTTTCTGTTTCTTTTTCTTTCTGTTTAGTTTTTTTTTTTTCTCTATAACTGAATTATTTCTTTTTTTTTTTTTAGACTTTGTTTTCCATATTCCTTCTTGTTTTTTCTATTTTCTTTCCTAGTTTTCTTCCATTTGCAATTCCGGGTTTTATTCAACTCCTTCTTAAAAATCTTTTTTCTCCTATAAATACCATTCCACTAAATCTTCATTCGATGATTTTTCATTTTCCTTCTCTTCTTCTTCTTTACAACAACCTTCTTCTTGCATTACATTCTTCTTCGCTGATAATTTTTCACTCTTCCAAATTTGCAAGGCTCCTATCTTTTACACTTTTTTCTGCCTCTCTGCTAATTCTTTTAACACCTGATGCCTGAAGGGCACCGCACTTGCCGATAATATCCAAAAACACCGACTAGATCTTGTCAACAAATGCGCCTTTTATAGAAGAGGAACGAATAGAATTGGTCTTTTGAGGAGTTGTCATTTACTAAGATTGATTTAGTGCTGAACAAGGTGACAATTATGGAACAACCAATGAGGATCGAACTCTTTTAAGCGCCAGGTATATTCAGGACGTGGCTGATCGTGGATCGCCACAACTTCCGGATATTTCTATCTTTAAATGTATCTGATGAAGATGTATCGTTATTTACATTATTTACATGCGGACTATTGTCCTCATCTTTGTTGTTGTTATCACAACGTTTCCAGCCTTCATCAGGAGGATAATTTTTTCGCTGATTTTCCGATGCGAGCCGCTAACCATTATGACAACGGCACAGATCTATAGTGATTTTCCAAGCGTAGCTTGGATGTGGCACAAGGCCGAAAGTAAGAGGCACCCAGTGAGGATCGAACTCACTTCTCAGTCGTAATCATTCTCTAGCGAGACAAGCTTGCTAACTATTACACCGCCTCGAGGTGCCCAACGGCACATACCTATAGAATGATGTCCGTATATAATCGGGTATATAATCAAAAAGGTTTCAAATAAATCTGAGATTTTCTTCATTTACATATGCTTAACTTTTTTAAAAGAAATAATCTTTTAATGACTATTTAATAAAAAAAAAAGAAAAAAAGTTGCTGATTTTTCCCACGTGAAACATTTTTAAGATGTCGGCCTCATACCGAAGAAAGAAAGAAAGACAAAGAAAAATTGATGAAAAGAATAACGAAGAGAAGAAAAAGAAACTGAAAAGAAAAAAGAAAGAAAAAAAGACAAGCAGATCGACAAGGAAGCTGAAAAAAGCGAAATAAAGAATTAAAGTTGTTATGGCAACCGTATTTGTGTTTCTGATAAAATCAGAAGAAATATTTTTTTCTTTCGTCGGCCATCTTGATTGTAGGGCTCAGTGATTTCCCCAGCATCCTTAGACAAAATAACGTTAAATACACAAAAAAACTTTGCATTATTCCTTGAATTCCTCGTCAGTGTTTCAGAGAAACTAAATAACAGTTTTCTCTTTACTAATATTCACCCAATACAAGACAAAGAGTCCCTCAAGGTAGATGCTTACTGAATGAGTTATGTGATATATATGCAAGAGGAAGAATTAGGAAGTGAAGATTATGAAGATATACCGGATAGATTGACGCTCGACTTGAAGAGGTTAAAGTTATAGTGTCCAGAAATGCATCTACACGAGGGTTTCTTCCAGAAAGCTGGATTGCTTAAGAAGAAGCTGTCTGAGTTGAACTTCCTTCTTATAAATGAAATACGTAGAGAATGCGAGTGATATGTTGGTTGTACAGGTCTGAGCTTGTGGAACTAAAGAATAGAGCTTGATGGCCATGTATTATAGGGATAGCGGCCATTTATTATAGGAATTTATTATAAGGATAGCGGTGAAGTCATAATAGGCTTTCGATGTTACGTCTGTGGGTTTGGTTTGGTTTGGTTTATTTTATTTATATTATTCGGACCATTGTCCTCATCTTTGTCGCCATATTTATTACAACGTTTCGGCCGTTGTACGCTCCGGCCTTCTTCAGGTAGTTGGAATGTCGAACTGAACCCTTTATTTCGCTCACTGGGGTAGACTTTTCTAGTTCTACGTGCCATGTTTGATGGATGTCAGTTATCAGTTATCTCCTGTTAATTTCCCTCTGTAAGTTCTCCATTGCCTTAACCGGGTATTGAACCCACACGCTTTGGGTCCTGTCACTGGATCTAACCAACGCCTTTATCCACTGTTCACAGTGGATAATCTAACCAACGTCTTTATACACTGTGCAATGTGTCCTCAAGGACACATAGCACAGTGGATAAAGTTTCCACTGTCTTTAAAACCTTCTGATCAGATGTGGTTTATCGTTTACCCAAGAGGTGGATGTAGGTTATCGTCTTACCCAGGACGCAGATGCAGTTTATCGTCATACCCACGACGCAGATATAGGTTATCGTCTTACCCAGGACGCGGATGTAGTTTATCGTCTTACCCAGGACGCGGATGTAGTTTATCGTATTACCCAGGACGCGGATGCAATTTATCGTCATATCCAGGACAAAGAGATGTTGCAATGTTCCCGGCTACACCCACTTTTCAATATTACTATTTCGATGACCAAACATAAGAGTACTGATGCTGAAAAGTCAACCCAGCTGATAAATTTTCAGCACCGCCCTCGCATAGACGTATATTTAGATTAATTCATTAAACTTGTCTGGTCGCGTAAACTGGATTCACACACACACACACACACGCGCTAGCGCGCATTTCTTGGAAGATTTTATGTGGTATACTTAATAACACATGTTATAAACATAAAGAAAGTAAATGAAATTGTCTAAACTATATACACAATCACATATTTAAACAAAGAAAATTAAATTTAAAAGATTAAAATTTCAGCGTTCCCTCAACTTCGCAGGACAGGGGAGGCTGAAATTGCTGCCCTATGTCATTGCGTTGTTCAGTTTTCTTTCCTAGACGTGGGAGAGCACAAAAAACATTAACGCGCCCTCTTGGGGGGATGATTTATTTTACTGTCTACAAACTCCGTCCCGCAGAGGCAACGTCCTGGGTATGACGATAAACTATATCCACGCCCTGGTTAAGACGGTAAAGTACGTCCATCAACAAGGCCTTTGAGCTGGAGGTCTTCAGGGGCGTTGAACGACCCAAAGTGATAGAAAACAAACGAAGACAGAAAGAAATAATATACGAAGATTGAAAAAAACTGTATTTCATTCAAGTTTTATTTACGACTTGATCACAAAAGGTGAGATGTTGTGAGTTTCCCGCGTGTCGGTGTATGAATCAAGACAAACACAGTTGTAGAAGAAAATACTGGTATATTCATAAAAGCAATTAACAATAGAGTGATTAGTAGAACGAAGGTTGGTTAGTACGAAACAATATCCAAAGTCTATAGTCCAACGGTATGTACCGGGTAAGCTTATCTGGACTGCTAACCCTGACTCTCTCTCTCTGACGCTCTGTCACTCTCTCTCCAGAGCTGACTTATATAAGAGAGACCAGTCCATTACTAGTTAGAAGGTGGGTGCGCCCCAACAAAAGGCATGTTCAAAACTAACCATACCTGTATCTTTCAGAAATAAAAACACACGGGAAGTGACCTGAGTTATTTCCATTTCATTGAAGATTTCCTTGCCATCTTCAGACTAACTTAAAGTATTTTATTAAGACATATTGCAGTATTCTGTGCTTCGGGAGTGGATTTACATCGAAGGAAGTGTTTGAAGTCTTCGTCATTTCTCGTCAAGAGAACATCAGTCAATATGATTAAAGAACTTACTGGAAACTTCAAATCTAAGCTTATAACTGTCCACGATGAATGAAAAGCTATAAAACCATATCAAAGCAATTTCGTGTGCCAATTCCAACAGTTCAAAGCATTATCATGTAATTCAAGAACGTCCACATCATGAGAAATCTCTAAGGACGAGAAAGAAAACTCAGTGTGTCACATCGTGTCTCCTCAAAAATATTAAAAGATGTTAAGAAGTGTCCGATAATCAGCACCAGGTATATTTTGGCCAGCTTATATGATTCTAATATCAAAGTATTGCCGCAGACAATCCGGCAAAATTTGCATATGGTTAGCCTCCTCCCCCGGGAAATGACATAAGAAAAGTCCAGTACTTCAAGCAAGACACGTTGAAACACGTCTTTGATTTTGTTAAACGTTAACTTGTCTAAGATTCAAACTTTTAGTCGAATGAAACAAAAATTCAGATTCTTAGTTTTAGAAATGTTGTTTTTGTTTGGTAAAAAAAAGTTTTCAACCTAAGCTTACGATCCTAAAATTCAATCGTGATCATGTCAGCAATATATATTGGTGATATTAGTACGGTAACCTGTTTATAGGGAATTAAACCATGAAAAAGAACAATCGATTTATATTCCTGTTTTTTATTATTTCACCACTCCACCAAAGGAGATAAAGCCACTAAGAAGCAAGTGTTTATTGGGAGTGAGAGAATCTGAGAAAACATTGAAAAGAGTGGACAATAAAAGAACGTTATTTTCATTATTCGGACTATGGTCCTCATCTTCGTCGCAAGGAAAATTGCAATATGAACTCTGGTAAAAACGTGCAATGAACTCTTGGAGCTCTGGTAAAAATGTTGCACATTAGGTTTATAATAACAGCAAAATACTGTTGTGTATGATATTTAAGCTCTGACCATAAAATATGGTTGGTACCGGAAGACAGGGAAGATAGTAAGAGATTGAATCCAGAGTTTATAATAACCAGTCAACCCATTCAGGAACAGTCTTCCCAAGATACCAAACTAACTGGCAATATTGGATAATACATTTTGTTAACGTACATTTTTGTTATTATTCCATGTTACAACAGATATCCCAAACAGTGGATAAAGGCGTTAGTTCAATACCAAAGGTTAAGTTCAATACCAGGTTAAGGAGAACGTTCAGAGGGAAATTAACAGGAGGTAACAGTCTACCTCAGTGAGCGAAATAAAGGGTTCAGTTCAACATTCCAACCACCTGAATAAATATGGCGATGAGGACAAAGTCCGAATAATGAAATAGGACAATAGTCTCAGAATATAACAGTTAATGAAAGGTTGTAATAAATATGGTGACAAAGATGAGGACAATAGTCCGAATAATGGACACATCTTAGAAATATGGAAGATACTGAAGGGCTGAAACGTTGTAATAAATATGGCGACAAAGATGAGGACAATAGTCCGAATAATGTAAATAGTGTACATAATACCTCATCTCAGAAATATGGACAGATACTGAAAGGCCGAAATTTTGTATTAAATATGGCGACAAAGACGAATAATGTAAATAGTTTACATAATACCTCATCTCAGAAATATAGACAGGAACGGGATTCAAAAAGACAGAATATACCGACTGAGGTTGCAGTTTAATTTTTAACGATTCAAGTTAACGGAAGTTTAAATCACAAACGAATTTATCTCGGGAGCTATAGTTTAGCAATTTCAACTGTAAAATGATGAGACCTAATTGCTGATCTTGCACGGCGCTTCGAAGTATCAAAGAGGATAGTTCACCACAACAATTACTACGAAAATATTTATAGGAAAGGCACAGGGAAGTTGCGGTACGGTGGTGGAAAGTAACTAAAGACGAAATGCCAGGTGAAGATCGATAGTATTGCAGATTCTACTTTGGATTTTCTCAAGAATATCTAATTATAGCAGCAGCACCAGACTAGATGGGAGAACGATATTTAATGCACGGGCGAATAGGTTTGGTAAAAGTGTCAGAAAAATTGTTTAGAACTATTCTAAGAGCAGACCTTGCAATTGATTCGATATAAGCGTTCCACTTGGAAACGATGGACCGATAAAACGCAATGAGGTGACGTCTGGGTAGCTAACACCATCCATGTTGATGAAATACGAAAACATTTCCTCTAAGATTCAGTCAGTTATGTGCCATGTGTGATACACGCTTATGCGATCATTTATCTTTCGATACATGACTGACGAGGCAGATTGTTGTTTTTCCGTAGTATGATGCCATTTCTTTTTGCGGTAGACCAGTTGCCATCCAAGGCTATAGAACCCGGTCTGTCCTGCTATCTACCCATAGCTGAGGAGGATTCAGACCTTTCCCAAACGTATTAGCACGTAAGTGAATGTAATGAACTTGAATGGAATTCGAACTCGGCTCTGCGATTCAGTTATGTGCCACGCATGATACACGCTTAGGCGACCATGTGTCTTTAGATACATGACTGACGGGGCAGATATTTTCCCGCAGTAGGTT